TCATGGCCAAAAGTGGTCTGTACATGCGCCCATCTACGATGGTTTCCTGCCTCGAGCAGGTCGATCTTGAGTGTTGCCTATCAAACAAACGCACGTAGTGTAGGTTGGACGAAGAATTGCTGCAAACGCTGAGGTCATTCGACTCTGACGACTCGATTAATTAATTTCAACCACAAAAGGCGATGCTGGATTGGCAGTAACGTGATAAACCTCACGAAATAGCAAATTGATTTCAATTTCAAGTCTAGAAAAGTGGTGGAAGGTTGCGAGCGTGGAAAACTACCCGTCGAAAAAACATCTTAGTGATGCTACAACTAGTGATTCGAAATGGAGGGCTGGTTCATGCACGCGGAGGGACAACAGTCTACGTGTAAAGTGACGAATTTCCTTCCCTCGGAAGGCTGGTGTCGAGTGAAGGATGATTTTGGACGAAAAACTGTCTTGATACAGACAATTGACACACGTGGTGCAGCCAACAGGACGTCAGTGCCCTGACAGTAAAATCAGAAACCAGCGTCGAGCTACTTTCCTAACCTTGTTAATCTTTATATCTTAAACCTTATGATAATATCTGCGATTGCCTAGGTAGAAAGATTGGATAATTTGGGCCATTCTTCACTTCACGCAGCTTCGTCAATGCCATCCTAATAGGGCGCAGATGTTTTCCCCAAACACAAGTGACAGCCTTATTGAAGGCGTATTAGCAAGTATGGGCTCTCAAGTCGCTGCACGCCGAAGCTCACCAAGGCATTTGTAATCTGATAAACAGCGAGTCCTGCTCTTTTAGTGTGACACTCTGTGAAGCTTGCCTTCACCATCAGCCATTATGTCCCGCGGGACGCTTCTGGTTGATCCAAATGATAGTCAGCAACAATTAAAGAGATGCAAAGTTGTTATTTGTAGTTAGCTCGGCTGGTAATGTCGTAGAAAAGGTGCTGTCTTAGTGGAGACCGCCATTGCTTTCTGTGGTAAGCGTGGGAAGCGTGCCTCCGTCATTAGCATGCCATCCTCATTTTTCCCTAGAATTGACGAAAATATGCCTTAGTATGGGCTTCTAAGAGCCAAGCTTCACCCTTTCAATACGTCCTAGCAACTGGAAAGTCTCCTGGATTCTTTAATTCCAACCCTTTTCGACCATCAGGAATTTGAAAACCGTCGCATGTTTTATTTATGACGGAAAGTATTGCAGCATTAGTCCGCTGCTTTCTACATCACGACTATTGGCGATTAGTTAAGGAGAAGAAGTTGGCGAATGAGAGGCTCCATGCACGCGGGGGTTTGCACAAGTTTGGGTCTAGATAACTTCGTGATCTACAACGCAGATGGTGGGGCGTGCAGGTTCTATTTTTCTTGGAGGCGCCAGTTGGGCCGGACGGCATGTTTTTGAGGAAAACGACAATGTCAGGCGGCCAGAAGCGCGCTCCCCAGTCCTAGCTGTGTGCGTGCATCGGCGGCATATTGATTTTGGCGGGTGTGCAATTCTCCTTGTCGCTTCCACTCGGAGGCGCGCTAATTCCTGCCGATCCTGCCTCCGCGCCCAGGGCGGAGGTGGGCGAATGCATGATGGCACACAGTGCCACCAGTCAGTGCAGGCATGGCCACTGCTGCAGGCAAGATCGTGTTTTTGCTGCTGCTGCTACTGCTGCCGCACAGACGCACCCAATCTCCCATAGGTGAATCATTTTTCGATCACGACGGCGCCTGCTGTCTGCGTGAACAACGCACGAGTGTGCAGGATGGACCGTGGCGCAAGGACGTCCACAGGTTCCCGCTGCATTGGGTGGTGAAGTGGCTTATGGAAAAATCCACTAGGGACCTAATAATGCTACGATAGTAAATTCCTGCTAAGTAGAGATTGTCTCCTTTGAGGAGCAATAGATCAGGCACCAATAAGTAATCGCCTGTACTTGGTCGAAAATTTAGTTATATGATGACTAGAACGCCCTATCACAAATTTACGCGGGCAGCTAAAGACTATGCTTGCACTCCTTCGGACAGAAGTGTAATGAAGTTTCGGACTGCAATCCTAACTTCTTAGTACTGATTGGGCTGGTGGAGTGATGCGTTTGCGCACAGTCCATCCTAAAATCTGGTGGAGTAGGCATTTTCAAAGGAAAACATTTAGGACAGTTTTGAAAGGAGACTCACCAAATAGCGTTCCGAGGAGACGCTGACGAGAATGAGGTCGTCCCCGATTCTGACCTTTTCACCAACTGATCGCTGTTTAGATGCAGGATGAATGGTCCACCAACAGGCCTCGGCTTAATGTGATTGAACAAAGAGATTTGCGGTGAGAGAGGGAAACACACTTTTAAAACTCTTACTTCAGAGGGGCAACTGTAGTAGACGGTGTGAGAGAGGCTGGACTACACTATGCGGAATAATGTGCCGATAAAAAGCAAGCCAAGTTTGTTTCAGCCGATAAACGGCAGAGCTCATAACTTCAGCCATCAGACAGGGCAGACTGTGGAGGGTAGGGGGAGCTCAGTCAGAAGAGGTGTATCGTCTAGCGGAGTAGAATCGCCGACTACCGACTTGGTGCTGGCTGCTCTATCGCTGAACCAAAGGGGGCTGCATTCGCGGCCGTGCAAATACTGGTCTCACAAGGCGAGCCTACTGTAGTCTGCAGTATCTTTCTACTAGACTTGAATGATAACCCTATTAAACTGGAGTTGCCCTATCTCCTGTAGGCTATCATTCGAAAGTCCCGATTGTGGTCATGTTTCCAACCATAAACCTGGCGCAGCCTCTTCAAAGGAAAGTTTCTGTACGCCAAAGTATCGATATAAACATTTTAGCTGGACTAGTGAAGAAAAGCACAGACATTGCCTTCTGCAGACAAGTTGCATATTTTTAAGCTTTGTTTCGGAGAAATTTAATTTCCTCAAAAACGGCATTTGATGGGCACCCGCAGCGCAGCAAACCTATTTGATAAGCGTTAAGTGTGTATTCGTTTGAGGAAAAGTTGACCGAGATAAGTGCTCCTTTGAGTCGTGACTCACGCTACCGAAAAGTCTGAAATTGTTGTACATTCGTCCAATTGTCGAAAAATGAGACGACACAGTGAATATACTTTATATGGGTGGCGACTGAAGGAAGTGATCGCAGCTACCAATTTCCTTTCCCTATCTCAAATCGCAAAAGACTCACAGTCTCCTATAGTAAATATAAATTGGACGTACACGGCCGGTCAGAAAGTGCCCTTCCCCCCATGGGTGCCTAACGGAGGGATTTCAAATCAAACTTGTTAGACGTTGCTTTCTGCACCTTCCGCTCGAGAAGAGTAATTTCATCCGCGTAGAGATGTTGGCCATATTGGAGATAATTTTGACCAATAACCAAGAAGAGCCCCTAGTGGGTGTTTTGAGGTAAACCCTATTCCCTCTCCAACCTCCTTGCCCTCTCTTTTACTTCTCCCGTCGTTTAATCCTGTATACGTTTATAAATAATATAACATTATCTGCTTAGGACTACTGACATTAATAGTTATAATAGTTTTGCGTGGAAGGTTTCGTATTGTAGCGAGACCACGCGGTAGGCACGAGAGATACTGATTTCTCGGTTAATAAATTGCCTGCCCCTTTTCAAGGTATCGTCCGTCACTCTCTTTTTCACATTCTGAGAGAAGGCTTAAAGGAAAGGTTATGCAATACATCGAGAGAGGTAAAAAATTTAATGGACTGGCATTCACACATGCACGCCGCACCAGGCGGCCATTCAGCGCAAAGTCCTCCCGACGCTAAGCTCCCATCTGTGACTCCGCAAGTGCTGCGGACGCACCTAAGTAAGCGTCTTAACTAGCAGTTAAGCCACATGAGGGCTAGACGGGATGTCTTCACCCAATGTAGGTTAAACGTGGAGCCTGCTTCGAATGTGGGGGGAGGAAGCAGCCGTGTTATGGCGTGGGGAGGGGCGGGGACTTAGCGCAAATCGGCCACTGCGTACGTAGGCCCACTTCCGTTCGCGGTTAATCAGTCCAGCCAGTGGAACACGGCGGGTGTAGAACTAGAAGATGAGGTCGATCTTGCGCAAGCCTGTCTAATTCGCACGCAAATTACTGCTTCTTTGCCTTCACTGCGCTCGCTGCGAAAAATGGCAATATAAAGCGGACGGGTTTTTTCTTCATACGATCGATCAAAAATTTGTGGAGGAAAAAAATAATCAGACTGAAGCGAATTACATCTTTTTCACCGTGATCAATGAATGATTATTTATAGTCTTCATCCTTTGATTAGTCAATGGACTGTCCATGACGAGCGACGAGGACGGCAGTTGCGGTGAAAAGAGCTGGCACAGCATCCGCCTCACTCACCGCGCTCCGACGGTCAGATAAGGCCAAAAGACGGGAGTTTGGCGTGGGCAAAGTAAATAGAAAAATTTGAAAACCGTCTCCGCGTATCACACACCACCTAACGGGGTCTCGTGAATAGAAGGTACCTCAGAAGCCAACGTGAATGAGGCCGTCACAAATCGCGCATTCTTTATTAGCCACTGCAGTCGGATATTGTGTTTCGAGTAGGGCTCTGTTGGCCATTCAGTTGGCAGACTTCTAATTCAGGATCCTAATGCAGCATTAAAGGTAGAAAGTGCGTATGCTTGTTTATAATGTATAAGCAAAGCGCAATGTCTCCTTTGAATCGGTCGCGTCAGCCGGGACTGAGATTGGACATAGTGGTTGATGTGGCAATAAGGTTCCCGCCCAGCCTATCCTGTATGCCGGTGCGGCATTCCTTTCAGACAGAACAGATCGTTTGACGAGGACCACCGACTTTTTGTCCTCAGTTTTGGTCTAACAGTGCAGTGATTATAAGCATCGGATGGTAATGTTACGTGCAAGTTTCTTTCTGGTAAGAATTTGAGGAAAGTCAGGCATCATATAAGCTAAAAAACAAATCAAAATCCCAATGGCAGCAGAAGGCTGGTATATTTGTCTTCCGAACGTTTTTTGATCGAATTCATTTGGAGTATTATCGGCAACTGCCAAAACTCTGATGTAAATTTGATTTCTAGGCTCACTGCTTAGCACTTTATGAAGACACCGTTACTAGTTGTTTTAAAGTTAGACAAAACACAGAAATGTGACAAGACTCAACATACTTCATTCTGGAGTTTCATGTCAGTTCTGTGTGAAAATTCCACAAACCTAACGACAATCAACAACAACAATCGAATCTCTGAAGGAAAGTATGGCGGATTAATAGGGGAATAGTAAGCACCAAATAAAATGAACTTATATGAAAAAAATAAAGGCCGAGCATCAAGATGAGGAAAAGGCGAAAACTTATGTAATTTCTGGTGCTCAGTCAAAGGAACTAAGACTGGCTGCTCAATGTAATAAATGCGTTGGGGAGCTCAGAGTCAAATCAAACATTTTCGATCAGCAAAAAAACTTCAAGAAACTTTCGAAAGCAAGTGGGACAGTGTTCGTTAGGAAAATGAACGTTGAGAAAATAAAGCCGCTTTTAAAGAAGGCATTAGGAGCAATAAACTTAGAGCCGGTTGTCTTTAGGCCGGCAGAAACGGTTGGCTAAATAAAGCTTCAAAGAAGCAACATAGAAGAAAAACTCACTGTCTGCTTCACGCTCTAGCCCTACGTCGAATGCCAATTTATCTTCAGTTGAGCTAGTCGACAGACATGCCAGGTACTGTAAAGAGCAAAATAAACAAAATTTGAGGCCAATCAACCCTAGATAACAATAGGTATAATCAAAATTACCAAAAAGCTAGGTTTTACGAGGAGCATCTTGTTTGATTCAGGTTCCGGCAAGGAACAGAGTAGTACTGAATAGAAGAGAACAGAGAACACAACCAACGAAAGCTTGTCATAACCTGGGTCTTAAACTGCAAAAACATCAAGACAAATATTCATGTATGGGATGACACCGAGGTCATCGCCACGGCCAACACAAAACGGGCGAGAGAATTCCTAGAGGTATGGTGCTCTAACGCGGAAAGCATCAACCGCCACGTTGACCTAGACGCCCATTATGAGGGCCTAAGATCTCGCCTAACTAAGCCGAGCCCCACGCCGCATCAGCGGCCGTTAATCCAGGCGCCCGCAGTTCCGCCAACCTACCATTCTCCCTCCCCTTCAACACGGGGAGCCTTAACTGTTTTCTCTCCCTCCCTTCCTCTCATCCCGGCTCAGAACTCAGCATGACTCCCTGCCCGCATCCCTCCTCACATGTTAATGGTCCACCCGTCAAAGCTTGTCCTTTCGCGCCTGCTGGTCTAGTGTGAGGGTCTTACTCTCTCTTTTATCTTCTTTTCGTCTGACGACGGGTTGATGTCACCAATTCGAAAATTCACGAGTACAACTCGTACAACTCTGAAGAACCTCTTTTTTTCCTATATTCATATATATATATATTAAATAGGATAGTATTGCACTATACATCATGTAATATCGCCACGAGTGTGTGAATGTTGCATAAATTAATAATTACGCAAAACATTTACAGCAAGATCTAAAGACCGGGAATGCGGAAGGATCAAAGTGAGCTCTAAAGTATGCGCTTGGGAAAGATAGAGCGTAAGACTTTCGAAGTGTAGACACAATACCAATGCTTAACTGCCAAGTAGCACCAGAAAACCATAGACGCGCAGAAGACGTTGATGGAAAAATGAAGAATAAAATGCCCTTGTCCTCTCAGGCAGAGAAGGGTTAACCTTGTTTGGGAGAAATTCCGGATTTATGGGCAAAATCTTTAATTAACTTTACTATTATGTGCTTTGCTTTCTTATCTTACATACTGCGCTCGTTTAGGCAATTTGTTATTTTGAAAGTGCAAGTGCCAATTGATCGCTTATAAAAGTATAAAGAAAGATTGCTTCTAACCCTCTATTTTCCTCTGTTATTGTGTTTAAAAAAATTCCAAATGATATGAGTAGTTATATACAAACCATTCCACTGTTACGATGTTTCAGGCGGACTGCATGGCCATAAAGCAACGTCCGGTGGCTCGAATGACTACTCTAGAAGAATCAAGAACACAGGCATTTAGTTAATATATTGTGGCCATTTATTGGGTCAAGAAAGACCGCCCCACGAAAATTTGCCAATTTAAAGATATTTGAAACTTCAAATACACGAAAACAGTTTTTTCTAGCCCAAGTAACAAAAACGTCGCTATGTGTTTGGACTAATGGTGCATAAATAATCTGAAGTTTTGTAAAGTCAAAGTTATACGCCACGATCCCAGGTTGGCTAAAAAGTAAATGCTGTCTAATTTCATTTAAAGCAGACGAATACCATCAAACTTCAGGTTTCTGCATAGTGACATTCAAGGTTTTTTACATTTGCACTTACATCCGAAAGTTCGCTTTTACTGGAAAGCATTTCCTGAAGAGCGCGTGCGGACAGTGCCTGTTCCAGCAAAAACACGCAAGGTGGCATATTTGGCGGAGGAGTCTGAACGAAAGGAAGCATGATATTATCGAGAAACGTTTGGTAAAATAAAACGTTTTTGCTATTTACGCTTAGGTTTTAAGGAAAGAACGGTTTGTTTGGTATTGGTGCTTTAGGTCACTTTTGTGAGGCAGAAAGTTATAAAAATGTTAGTGAAGTAAAACAGATAATAAAAACAATTTTGTCAAATTTCTTGGATTTTTTTACACTTTAAAATTAGTAAGTCTCAATTACCTATGTGAACTTAAATTTAATGATTTCTGGGCTATGTGTACGCAATAGTATTCAAATTAAACTACACAGTTAATATTAAACGAGTTTGCAGAATTACAATGAAGTTGGTTTCATTATGTAAACCAAATCCTTTAGAGGTAAACGTTGTCATACAGCAAAATCGTACTCGCAAAACTCTTTACTATTTTCCAAACAAACTCTGGATTTACGAAATTCATTATAAACCAAACGCAAAAGCATACGATATGCTCGAAAAACAAGCTAAAGAGCGCGGGAGTATGATCATATAAGGATGCTCGAAAAGGCCAACATAACGAGGGCAATATGGCCTCTTACCTCCCGTGCGATGCATTCGAGTGAACACATGCGATTTCCAAATCCCTCGGCCCCAAGACATAGACGCTCAGCAAGTCCATGAGAAAGGCAACTCAGGCAAATGAAGTCACCCTAAAAATCAAATCATCTCGAATAAAATCGTTTACTGTTCTCAAGAAGGATATCTCTTCTTCGGCCATTCCAGGTGTCCTTCAGAAACTCGAAACCCGAAAGCGAGCCTATAGGAGTGACCCTGAAAAACTTCTGATTCAAACACTTTCAAGGACTTTGCACGTGGTAAAGGTTGTATTTAGAACATATGCGAGAACAAACATTCTGTAATATTTCTACACTTGAACATAATTATGTTTTAGTCCCAAATCCAGTCTAGGTATTACGACGTTTGTCGGAATTCAATTAATGGTATTGGGAGTTCTCACACGTCCACATTTTCTGGATATTCCTTGGCCTGTAAAGATATCATTTTTTGGGACTTCATAATATCAAATATTTGCAACAAAGACACGATTTCCGTTTATAATCCCATTCACTCATAAGCAACAGTGATTTTGCGAAAAGCAGCATATCTTATGGTGTAGAAGTTTGATCGTAGGAACCTTCTGAACTTGCGAATTCACATGGTACATTCGTTATTTCTAGTGTTCCAGGAGCCGTCGTGGCTTATTAGCAATAGTTAGTCTTATTATGTCTGGCTGGTTCACAGCTCATTCTTAACATCGTTATTGGCCTCTCATGTAACTTCGTTCGTAGCTTATTTTTTCTTTTAAAATCTTCAAAGTCGGAATTTGTGGACTCCACGTACAAAAGTGTCATATGTGAAAGGACAAATAGCATGGCAAAATTTCCACATTCCACTGCATACCTGACTGTTCACACCGACAATTGCTGCCTACAGTGTTTGCATTTTGCCAATTGACCCAGTGGTGAATTTACTTGAATACTGTCCTTTGAGCGTTTAAAGATGAAAAATTAATAACAAAAAATGAACTTCCGTAACCTGGATGATGAGTGCGTCGTCCGAGTCCTTCTGCCATCCCACCCTTTTTTCCAGATTAATATGGAATATTGGTTCGTTTGGCGCTCGTAATCGACAAATGAGAACTTTACAATCAATGCTCCGATGTGAGGAATGCCCATATGTGACAAGATAGTTCCCTTCTGCCAAGAACCCTATGATTATCCTATTTGTTTTGCGGATGAGACAAAGGTCAGCCAACATGACTTCTCGGTATTCTATCTGCTCATTTAACCATATTTCGTTTAGAGCTACAAAGAAGGTTTGGAAATGGAGAACGGGCAGTTTTTTTTCATCCAACTTGTTAAATAGAGTCTGCGCATTTATGCAAATTATGTCGATATGTGGATTTCTTCAATCCCTGATATTCATGGTTGTCGCTAGATATTTAGCATGGACTGTTCAACTTATTTTTTAATTTAGATTCTATGCCATGCCATGTTTTGGTGTCATCCACAAATATGAATCAGCTATGGTGCAATCCCGTCATAGGCCACTGATATATGTAGACTAAAATACGTGATGGACTAGTAATGGAGTACTGAGATAACAACATTTTACTTGGGACTGAATCTAATACCCGTTGTTGTCGCACATCTTTTGACTGACTGAGAGTTGTTTACCAGTTTACTTGTTTCACTGGCTCCGGATTAACTAGCAACTGGGCAAACGAAACACAGAATCGTGTATGATTCGGCCATCTTCGTGTTTATAGCACTTCCTTCTGTGATTCCGTTTTGTCCGTCCGGAATGGTGCTCTTAGTTTCATTCAAAGCCTCCTCTTGAATATTCTGGCTTGGATTCGGCCGACAAGGCGTTCCGGTATCTTGTAGCAGCCGCTCCAGTCCCCCTATTCTCCGGCTCCGTTTTGTCGGTCGATGGCCGCGACAATCGTTGCCAGGCCGCTGACACACAACCACCCCCGCCGATTATAACTGGGCCCCCCCCTCCTGTCCAGCTGCAGTGACCCCCGACTGCCCCCACAAACAGTTATCACCTCATGCGCGTCGGACGACCGGGCTTGATACCCATGAGCCCCTGTAATTATGCTTCCCCCTAATCCTCCCCTAATCAGTCCAATCTCATGACCAGCATCCAACCCGTCACCCCCACCTACTGACACAGACTTTCACTCCCGCGTAAACTACACACCGTTACTGACGCTCTCCGTGAACGGACGCTTATCTCTGTTGCAAGCAAACAGCCAACTTACGGCAACCTGCCCTGTGTACAGAATAAACTAGTCCTCCCAGCTCCCTGACTTCTGTCATCAGACGAAACGAACTTATTGTGCGTGGTTTAAGTTGATCTCACATCCTTGACCGCCACAATCTCTATTGTTCAACATAACTGGGAGCCTCCAGCGGTCCTTCGTAGGACTCCTGGCCGTCTTCCACAGCTGGTCTGCGTGTATGTAGACGGCCTTCGCCTTTTGACCGTACGGAAGTACGTGTTATTTTACTGGGTTGTTCTTTTGTTCTCTGACTTCTTTTTAGCTTGGCTCGCCTAATAGACTGACACCCAGTTGTGTCTAGTTCTTTGGACGAACCTGTGATTGTGCCATGTTTGCGGACGACATAAAAATCTGGAAAGTCATCCAGAATGCTGCCGATGAGACCAACTTGCAAGAAAATCTTTGTCGATTGGACGAGTGTTCCCGCAGATGGCTCTTGTCCTTCTATTTGAACAAATGCACCATTCTGCGCCTCGGAAATCAGACCCCTAGTACGCGGCAATACCATCTGAACGGAATGCCACTCCGAGAAGCAGAAACTCAGAAAGATCTCGGAGTTTGGGTTGCAGACAGCCTTAAGCCTTCTACACAACGCTGTAAGGCGGCCAAGGCCGCAACCTCAATGCTATATGCCATCAAGCGGGCATTCGTAGTTTTCGATTAAGACTGCTTCACCAAAGTCTTCGGAACGTTTATAAGGCCCCATCTCGAATATGCAATTCAGGCCTGGAGACCGTGGACGCATCAGGATTACGATCTGCTCGAAAGGGTGCAGAGACGAGCAACAAAATTAATAAGAGGTCAAAGTGCACTGCCATACGAGATCCGCTTAACTAACCTTAATATCTATCCTCTGAGTTATAGGCAGTCTCGCGGAGACATGATACAAACTTTCCGTATCGTGCGCGGCTTGGATTGTGCCCTTCGGCGCGATGACTTTTTCCAACTTGTCACTACAACTCACCTCCGGGGACATCCCTTCAAGCTACGTGTGCCACAGGGTAGAATGAATGTGAGAAAATATTTCTTCTCCAACCGTGTCGTGGAACCGTGGAATAACATGCCCGAGACGGTTGTTATGTCTCAATCTGTGGAGGCATTTAAATGTCGCCTTGGCAGATATATAAATAAATAAATAAATAAATTTTAATTTAATGCCAGTTTACAGGCATTGTCAAGAGAAGCGATTAAACACAAATCCGACCAGCAGTGAAAAAAAAACTCCTGAGCTTAAGGCATAAAAATATAGTTGATGGTGGTTTTTGTGGTTTGGAGGGCTCAGGAGAAAAAAAACTGTCGGCGGTGG